GTTGTTTCTGATTGTACTCCTTCGGGATTTTTCCCCTGAATGCCAAAGTGAAGTTTTGCTACTTCGTGTAAGCCTTGGTTGTAAATTCAGGTTACGCTGCAGCAGGTGCCTTTGGGGTAACCCCTGTAGTATTTCTGGGAATGACAAGTGCCTAAGAATTCAAACTCTTCAATAGACTGTTATGGTGTGTTACTGGAATGTTTCTCAGTGAGTCCTTCCGTGCGGACCTGTGTTCTCTGCGTGTTTTGTGAGTTGAGAGTGTTGTTCACCGCGTATGAGTGACTTCGATCCGAAGTAGGAAGTCCAATCCGGATTTCCCACACTAGCAGAAAGCTAGTGGAAGGGTTGTAAAAGCCGGAGTTGGGAGTCACTACCCGCAGCTTCGCGGAGTGCTCGCGAGAGACTTCCCCCCCTGAAATCTTGAGTAGAGGTCCTAACGGATCTCTGGGTTGTGTTTCTGTAGTTTCAGGTGTGTGTGTGTGTGTGTGTGTGTGTTACGCTGCACTGTGCGACCTCCGAGTGAATTCTGAGTGAACACTTGCAGTATTTCTGGGAGTGATAGTCGCCTGAGAATTCAAACTCCTCAATAGTCTGTTAATTGTGACACTTTGTACCCTGTGTGTTACTCTGTCCCTGTGGGTTCGACCTTTCTACCACTATATTGCAGTTTTAGCCTTTAGTGGGTTATTACATATGAAAACCTGTGCACATCAGTTGGTTTATACTTTGTGGGCAAGACGATGCAAAAGGCTTGGGGTGCTTAGAGGACCACTTACAGTGGCCTTTTAAAGACTCCGTCGTCGCAATAGCAGTGACTGATCTTAAAGCGCGGCCTCTGTTTTACACTTTCCCGGATGTCGTGACTTTGTAATTGGCGTTGATCCATGCATAATCTCTGTTTGTTTTCATTAAAGAAATCGATGACGTAATTTCTTCTTCTGCGTACGATGCTCTCTGCTAGTACGTGAGCAAAGTAATGAATGAGATAGCGGACTCGTCTGTTCTGGGGTCCAAGAGTCCTGGAGAGGTGCATGGAGATATTTTTGAAGGCCTTGTAGCATGCATTATGGATTCCGCAAGCATAACGAACATGAAAAAGACTTGAAAAAGTCAAGCACCCCCTCCAAGGCTTGGGCACCCTTGCAACAGGACTTCTTGAAAATTTTCTGCAAACAAGGAGAGCAAGGAGAAACGAATGAGAGCACTTATTCAAAGCCTTGGCGAGAACATGTGCTCAAATACGTGGGAGTAGTTCGAGGAGAAAACTCCTGATGTTCAATAGCCAGAAACAAACTTCATTGGCAGTTTTCTCCAGTAACTTCGAGCACTTTCATCGACATATATCGGAATTTTTTTACTAGAATACAAGTAAGTTGTGAGCCAAATATGGTAACTCACGACATTCTCTTCGACACGAACTCCAAGGCAGAAAACAGATGCCAATGGGCGAGAGGACAAATATAGATGACGTTGGAAAGAACGATGTACACCGTTATAAAATATGGTGTGTCTGACTTGTGAGGGGACTTAGTCTTTTGCAAAATAGAATAAACTGTGAGAGAGAGAGCATGAGGGAAGAGAGAAGGACAGAGAGGAATACATCAAAAAGAGAGAAGGAAACGACTTATGGACAAAATCCTAATGAGTGCTCTAAATCCCGGCGCTAGGGTGCCTTTAGAAAAGTCCTATGTACATGCGACAACGCTGCTATGGAAATACAACAGACTTGCATTAAAAAAATCAGTAATCACACGTCTAATAGAACAAATTATTTCAACAATTAATCACTTTATAAGTACCGTGATTAATTTTAAAGACTATGTTTGTCATTATGGCAGGGTTTGGTTGTATCGATGCATGAGTCTAGATTTACAAGACCTAGTATGACAAGAAAGAAATCAGATGAAGTCCATAGATGCTTCATCACTCATATGAATGTCATGAATAAAATAGATTTGAGTGTTTTTATTCTTATATTTTACTAGTCTCTCCTTTTATTGAAAAGAGTGGTGTGACATTAACGGAGAAAAAAAAGGAGAGAGGATATGGAATTTGCTTATTTCGTCTTCCACACATAAATATAACTTTATCGAACATGTGAAGCTGAACAACAGAAAATTATATCTTGGCAAAAACATGACACTGTTTATTTCTCTCTTAATATTCCAAATTATTTGGCAACAAGGATTCAAATTCTCTATGTTTCCTGCAATTATTATTATGTAGCACTGCAATTCACGATCAAAGTATAGTCGATGGGAACAATGATAATACCACATAGATCAAGAGACAGGACAACGTTTGAAAAGAATACCTTGCCGTCACAATTCTCTTAATCCTTGAACTGTGTTTTCGAATTATCTTTTCGATTCAGATTTCATATTTTTTCAAAATGACCAACAATTGTAAGATAAGCTTGGCAGGTGTGATTTTGGCTGTACCTATGACAATGTTTAATGTGAGATTTCTACCCGAATTGATGACACCTAGACTTTGAAGCTCGAAATTATATAGTTGAAGGAATTGAATTCAAGCTTTCTATACTTCTTGAAGTCATTTAAGTTAATTATTATGTTCTCAAGAGATATCATTATAGATAACAAGAGATTAAAATTCAAATTTTGTTTAAATATTTAGTAGCAAGGTAAACATATATATTTGCACGATGGCCGTCATCATAAGAGCTTAAGACTAGAACTCATATGATTTCAAAAGACTAATGGTATATCAGCTATTGATGCTTAGATGAACTAATCATTTGAACCATTAGAAAAGGGCGATATGTACGACCACTAGGTCTTAAATATAGCTTATAGACATAAAGTTCTGCATACTGTATCATGATGAAATGCAAGGAAATGGACTAAATTACGGATGGAAATTAAAAATGTCGCCTTGTAATATTGTAAAAAAATAGACAATAAGTTCAAAAATTGTATTAAGATAAAGTTTTAGTTTGTTTTGTGAAACAGTGAGGTTTTAAAAAGATGATGAATTTTGTTTCATAGTCAAAGTTTAGATAATTTATTTTGAGACAAATAATTTATAATGCAAAATAATTAATTTTAAAAATGTGATAAAAGGGAAGTTAAGTGATAAATAATACTCAAATTTTTTTTTAAACTTTAATATTTAGAGACAATGTGAAATAACTTCAACAAAACATATAAACAAGATACTTATAAAATGAAAGTAGTGCAAAGTTATAAATATTACACATACGACATAATAATGTCAAGATAAAGAGTTCTTTGAAGGGTTACATTATCAATTTAAGATGCAGATTGCAGCAAAAGAGCAAAATATGTTAATATATTTGTAACTGGTGATGATTTAACAATGAGTTTTTATTTTAAAATTATTTTTAATGTTGATTTACAAATGCAATGAAGCCAGAATGAAGTCCTGTGTAGCCCATTTTTGTCACCTCTGATCAACCTAAACTTGATAGATTGCTAATGAAATCACCACAACATATGTCTATAAAGTTTGGAACAATAACAAATCAATATAATTTTTTTAATAAAAGTTATTCTACTCAACTAGATTATATTTTTATAAATAACTCACATCATCAAATCATAAACAATAATATATTTGTAGACATGTTTTATTTCATATGAAATATAAAAGTCTTAGCTTTTATTGGCTGATACTTATTGATAATATGAAAGTTTTACTTCAAAAAATGAAAGTTTGGAAAAAATAAAACAAATTTTCCTTGTGATCTTCAAATTCAAGATATCTTTTGCATTAGTTAATTTAATAGCATGACATAATAATTAGTATTTCATAATGGAAAATACAAAAAAACTCTAATCTTCATTTTCATTTTTACAAAAATTTAATACAAAAATTTCATGTATTTATTTTTGAACCTTTTTGAATAGATGAAAAAAAATCTATCTCAATTTTACATTTTACTGCTTCAAGCCACAGTTGTTTTTATTTTAGAATGAAATTCTAAGATAAAAATTTTACGAGTTAAAATATTTTAACTCACATACATCACAAAATGTATATGTGAATCATACTTGAATTGTACTGAAGAATTAATTTTAAATATTTTGGCTCAGTTTATCTAATTTTTGGTTCCTAGAATAAAAATCATGAGTGCTTGTGACCAAATTTGACTTGACCTATTTAGTTTTATTTATTTTGAAGAAATTTTATGATTTAAAATTGAAATATCGAATTGAGATGCAGCCTTATTTTTATAAGGTTTTGGAGTGTTATTCATGTTTTCATAAAGTAAAAAATGATTCATGAAATAAATCAATTTTGTTGACTTCAAATATTTGATTTGAATGATTAAGCAAATTGAATCACAAAGAGCCAGACACTGTTTCAATCATTTTAAGAAACAATTCAACAAAAATTATTCTTAATCATTTAAGACCATCTTGACAAGTGTAAGATTTATCTGTTAAAGTTACTCTTCTATAAATAGATACGGTAAAGGTATGATTTTATCTATGAAATCATGATCCCACATGTTTCATGAAGTGTTACGAGATCATTTCTGAGATTGATGACATCTGCAATCACGGAAGATCAAATTTATAATTTATGAAAAATTAGGATTGAAATTATGACAATTTTGATACGAAATTTCTCCCTATGAAGCGGCAATATTTTGTGTCTTGTCATCAATTTGAGAATAAGTTGACGTTCAAAAATCTTTATATACATTAGGGTCTTAAATTCTCCAATAAAAAGTGCAGATATTTTTTTGATTTTTTTTTTGTCTGGAAATATTGTAAGCAAGTAAGAAAAAAATTCTACTTCAAATCACTCCCAAGAAATGATTTGAAGTACAAGAGTTGTATTGTTCGGCAAAATAAAAATCACATAAGTTCATCATGCAGTTGAAATGATGCGAAAGTATATGGAAAAGTTTCTTTATTAAGATAGACCATTTGTAATATATATATATATACTCAATTATGATCAACAAAAATAAGAAAGGTAATTCCTTCAACAGTTCATTTGAATCATGAGGGATCAGAAGGTACCCTTCTATATTATATATCTTAACTTTGAGGAAGCTAAAACTTGTGGACTCCTTAAAATCTGATTTGTTTTAGCACAGAAATCAAGAGCAAAATTGTGAATCATCTGGAGCAATTAAACATGTACAATCAGGAGTCACTCACAGATCAAGTCTCGGCTTCCAAAGGAAAGACATGAACCTCCTTCCATAAAATTGGCCCCGGTGATCAAAATTGAGGTCAAACTTCTTCCACTCGATCTTCTTCAGATCGAAGACGATGACACTACTGGGATTATAGTATTCAGTAAAACACGCATAGTCTCCTTCAGCCTCGATGTGGAAAGAGAGCATGCTTGACTCCTCGACGCCGTAACATTTGAATAAGAGGTCGCGAGCGAACTCTACTGGCATACTACTCACCAGTTTGATGGATATGTCTCCCGATGGATTTACTGCTCCCGAGAGCTCTACTTTCCAGAGCTGTACTTTCTCTTGAGGCCATCTACAGCTTCGTGCCACGTACAAAAAACTTCCATGCTCAAATATTTGTATGTGGCAGTTCCTTCTCATAAAAATAGGCAGATTAAGTTTCTTAAGCTCGTCGGAGACGACCTCGCATAACTTATTCTCCACGAATAAGTTATGCTCCTCAGACGGCTCAGATTCATAATCGTAAAAGTATGCCATCGGGTCATAGTTTGGAATCAGGAGAAGGAAAGTCCGATCTCCAATAACGCACACATTACTGACGTATCGCCTCAATGAGTCTGGTATACCTGAAAACGTAAACCAGACCCGCGATTTAGGAGTACTTCGCCCAGACAAATCTTCTCTGCGGAATTCCGAAATTACTTCCCAAGAGTTTCCGCTTGAAACGTATTTTGATATTCTCAAATACTCGACGTAATGTTGTACATATATCTGAAGAGCAATCAGCTTGGTTGATGGCCTTACTTCATAACTTCCAGCTCCACGAGAAGGGAATATGGTCGAGGCTGCCTCGCTGCTGCTACTACTACTTCCAGGAAGCATATGCCATGGCAACAGAGGGGGCACCTCTCTCGTAGTCCTGTACACTGGATCGTACAGCAAGTAAACATACCTCTGCTCTTCCTCTCGCCAGCGTGCGAACATCAAAAGGCCAGCTGTTGTAGAGATCAATTTCAGACACGGATCTGTTGTTAGACGGGGAAGAGGTAATTGACGCCAAGGTAATATCTCCGCTTCGTTATTGATCCATTTGCTGATTGGAGGATTTACGAAAATATTCTGCACACCAGTATCTGTGAGCAACAAACGTGGTCCATGTTCCTCACAAGACAACGCTGCGTTGCACAAGACAGACAGATGCGGCTGGTTCAGAATGACATTCCACGAAACGCACACAAGTCGATTCTTCAACCACTCAGTCCACTCCAGTCTTTCAAGAATGTTCCTAATGATTGGTTCTGGGAGGGATTGAATGCCTCCTTGGGGCTGCCTATGTTCTCCCTCTTCGTGTGTGATGATCCCCTGTCCGGCTTCTTCCAAAGACATCGACGCCGTTCCTTCCTGCAGGACTTGGAAACATTCTCTGAGATCTTCCTGTGCCATGACGCCTTGCGATGGCATCCGTTTGTCGAATTTCCTCTAAGAGTTCAATCTATGTCCTCCATCCAGGCAATCCTAATGGCTTCAGAATGAAAGTTCCAAAGATGAATGGCTAGAACCGACTGATGCATTATAAGACAATGCAGGTGAGCCTGGATAGGACGTGGACCTCGAGCAACTATGATCATCGGAGCGCTGCCTTGGAGCAGCAGAATGGTTCTGTTAGTGTGACGCTAATATTTTGACGTTACCATATTTCGAGCTGTTGTTCGGAACAGTCATACTACCGAGAGAAGAAATTAAAATTGGCTGTTGAAGCTCTCCGTTCGTCTTTACTCGAAACATAAGTCCGTTTCAACTGACGATATTCTTAATCTTCTGAAACCATTCATCGTATGGAAATATGGTCCGATGGAATAGAACAGGAATAAATCGGCTGCTGAAGCTCTTCCTTAGTAATAGAAAGATATAAACTGGCTGTTGAAGCTCTTCGTTGGTCGTTAATTGAAACATAAGTCCGTTCTAACTGACAATACTCCTATTCTTCTGAAATCATTCTGCGCTTGAAATTATAATTTGTAGAGAATTGATCAGATATAATTTGGTTGCTGAAGCTCTCCGTTCGTCTTTATTCGAAACATAAGTCCGTTTCGACTCACGAAACTCTTGATGTTTTGAAATCACTCTGCGTTTAGGAAGATAAAAATAGATCCGTAAAAATAGATCAGATTTAAACTGGCTGCTGAAGCTCTTCATTTCTCGTTACTAGAAACAGAAGTCCGTTCCAATTGATGATACTCTAAAGCTTGAAAAATCATTTTGGAAAGTACTATCTTCCGTGTGGGGATCTAGTAAACAGAAAATAATTAATCTTTCCTTCTTTTGACAAAATTAGATATCTGATTGTAAATCTCACCAGGTGAGAGTCACCTGGACTGATGATAACATTATGGGAAGGTAAGAATTGAGAGCCTTGTGTATATAAGATTATGTGTGTCCGAGAAAGAGAAATCAGAATGAAACCTCGCAATTCAAACATGTGAAGAAGGCTTCCCTATGAGCGATATGCATTGTTGTGGTCTCAGGAGGTTAAGAGTGAGTGGATATGGATAGATATCGTTCGGACAGATCAAGCCTTTTGATGTAATAATCTGGCTACTGGTAGAAAGGGTGAAACAGCAGAATCTCTGTCTTTGGCCGCATCATGCCATAGGGCTGAAACCGAAGTAGAAAATCACTAAAACATCAAAGTCCATATGCTAATTCCGAGTACAAAAGTGCTCAGTCGCCGAAGTGAAAGTGCATAACAAAGTGCTGTAACAAAACACTGAAGCAGAAGTACGAAAAGGTGAGGAACGAAATTGTAGCGGTAACCAAAAACTTTCAAGTTAGAAAAGGTGGTGAGAGAACTAAATACATGACCGTTGGAAGAGAGGAATTCCGACAACGGACACAATCACCTTCTGCGTTGGACTTGACATAGTTTTCTTTGAAAAGGATCAGAATCATTTGTGAAGAAAAATAAATTAGATCGATGCAAACAGAGAGATATTATCCTACAATAGTGAGAATAGCCAGGAGATTTTGTTGAAGAGATGAAAAACGAATCTGACACAAGGGCAAATTTAGTAAAAATGACGGTGTTCAGCTTGATACATATTTCGAAAAACAGGTCAAAAAGCTGCAACCGCAACAAAAGAGAACTAAAGTTGAGCTTAAAAATTAAGAAAGAAAAGTGGCTCAACTCTAGGTTGTGACATTACAAAGTTGAAGATTGAAATTAAAATTCCGAAAACATTTCAGATGTTATCATGAGTGTTGCCTGTGTTGAAAGATATGTTTCAGTGATAAAAAATCTAGAATTTTTTATCACTGAAACAAATTTTTTTCGTTTCGATTATTCTTTAGTGCAGTTAAAACTGGAATTTCAGTGTTAATTAGAAGAATGCTTGGAAAATATAATCAACTTTTATGCATATTGCTATGTGAAATATTCAATGATTATTATAAAATTTTAATATAAATCAAAATATTTTGATGACATGAAAAATTTAGAATATTTTATTTTATTTTTCCAAAAGGTAGAATATATATAGAAAATGCACTTATTAGCTTTATTTTGCAAAAAAAAAATCAATATTATAGAAAATATTTGAAAGTAACACTTAAAAAAATAACCTACAACTAAACACTTTTGTGTTTTCATATCAAATTTGTGTGAAAAAAAACACTCATACTTTCTTATGAGATTAATACTAAAATACAATTTGATCATAAGGTGAAGGAAAAGACAAATAGATGCAAGATTTACTTGATTAAACCTTAATTTTGTTAAAAAATCATGTACAAATAGAGAATGATGCTTTGCACAAGCTTGTGGAATATTCTGAAGGAACTTAGATCGAGACATGGAGGTCAAGGAATTCATGAAAAGTTGCATCTTTTGGCCGAAATTATGTACCGCCGCACGTCGAGCTGTTGAAAAATGTTTTTGCTGCAGAGTCTCCTTGTTGGGCAAAGTTTGCACCACCCCCTTGTTTGGCTGGAATCCACACCATTTCGCTGTTGGATAAAACCCGCGACGTCATCATGTTTGGCTAAAGTCCGTACCGTCTTAATGTTGACAAAGTGTGCACCGCCTTCCTATTTGGGTAAAGTCCGCACGGTCCAGGACATTATCTTTCCCCTCCTTATGTATTGACGATAAGATTTTTAATCATTTTGGGAACATTAGAAAGATTCGCACCAAGTTCCCAAGTTTGCTAAATTACGTCATATATTTGCCAATATACAATATATTTTAATCTCCTTCGATTGAGTCAAGAGTTAATGATCTTAAAAATTCAAATTATTCTTCTATGTTTATCTTGATTGGTGGCCAAACATGACATGATGTAAATCGTCATGTAATATAAGATAATAATATACGATTCAAGAAAAAAAACATGAAACATTGAATGACTTTTCATACATGATGGCAGGTTCAACCTGTATTTTATCTTGTTGACATGATTACTTATGCAAAAAGATCCAAGACCACGATAGTCAAGTTTGTCATTTGATCGACAACTCTTCAAATTGCGACGCAAAAGCCAAACATTATCCTCATTAAAATGTTCAGATTTTGCTTTTGAGATTTATCTATATTCTATTCTACTGTTCTTGAGCTTCTACAAGCCTTGTCTTCATGTCTTTGTGAATTTTTTTAAGTCCGGTAATCAGATCTTGCCTAGCTGCATTCTTTGTCAAATTCAAGTTCAAAAAGTCAAATTGTGAATGATATCTATCGCTTGCAAAGAAATTAGTTCAATGGATGGAATTTTGAAATGTTTTGTTGTAGGCAAACTTTGCAACTAAAAGTAGATTCACTCAATTGTCTTATGGTAGTTGATGAAGCATCTTATATACTACTCCAATACTTCGTTCATTGGTTTGGTTTGTGCATCCGTCTAAGGATGATAAGCCGATGATAGATGAATATTTATTTTAAGATCTTGAACAAGGAAGGCCAGAACTCGAACGTAAATTGAGTACCACGGTAAGAAATGATGTACTCTACAAGTCTATGATATTTATAAACATTCTCCAAGAAAAGTGATTTTTTTACTTGTGATAGTCTTCTTGCAAGTCACAAAATGTGTATTATCATTGTAAACCTATCCATCCCAACAAAAATTGAATCAAAAAATTTGGACTTTAAAAGATCCACAATGAAATTCATGGATATGTATGTCCATTGGTTTTTGAAATCGGAAACGGTTGAAGTAATCCGCATGTTCGATGACGAGGGATCTTAGATGTAGAGCATGTGTCACATGTAGTGACAGAATACTTCACAGATTTTCACATTTGGACCATCAAAATTCCTTGAATATCATTTTCATAATCTTATTTTAGCCAAAGTGTCCCCCCATGGAAATTTGTGTCAAGAATGACGCACTCAGAGTCGGCAAGTGCTTTCAGGAACATAAAGTAATCCCTAGTACTATAACAAGCCATATTAGAATCGAAATCTTGGATCAACATCACTGAAAACCTCGTAAACTAGAGGAAGGTTGATTCAGGGCTTTTGAATTCATAACTTCTAAGACTAGACGTGTACTGAAGATGCCAGCATTTTTCTTCAATTTCAAGGTCAAAGGATCAGATTTTCAACTCACTTGGATATCTTGGAAAAAAGTTACATCTGTCGAAGTTGCCGTGAGCACATTCTTCAGCTAAAGTAGCTCGGTCTTTATAAGAGTTTTCTTTTGTTGATACTAAGCTGCATCTCTTTCCCTGGTTGCAAGGTATGCTCGTAGGAAAAGAGTGTAGAACCGCATTTGCTTGGAACCGGGACGTTACGTGTTTACAAAATTGAAGGGCTAAAGCGTTAGACTCTAAGAAGTTTATCGTTAATTCAATATCTTAGCACACATGAAGTACTCAAGGTTCTTTTGATCGGTATAGATTGTTATTTGATATTGAGCTCCTTTGAGAGAACTCGAGATTGGCATCATTTTCTTGAATGATGCCACTCTTGGAGCGAGTTGACAATGCCTAAGAGCTACTTCTCGTGGATTTCATATTTGATCTCGGCTGCACTAAATTTGAGTGAGTGAAACGAGACAAGATGAAGAAAAACGGCTTCTCGGGATGGTTCAGGATAGGTGCCGTTGTAATCGCCTTCTTCACAATTTCAAATGCTTGGTTTCTTTCCAAAGTTCAATTGAGTTTGTCTTTGCGAGTCAATCTTGTTGTCATCGGAGAAGCAATCTTGGAATAGTCTAGAAGCAATTAAGATAAAAATTCTTTGAAATGATTTGAAGTACAAGACTTGCATTGTTGGGAAATAGAAACATCACATAAGTTCATCATGCAGTTGAATTGATGGGAGAGTATATGGACAAGTCTCTTTATTGAAGGAGAGCATTTGTAATATATTTGTCATATCTCCTCAATTATGAGAGAAATAAGAAAGGTAATTCCATCAACAGTTCAATTAAATCATGAAGGATTAGATGGTACCCTTCTATACAACTTTTATTATATAACTTAACTCCGAGGAAGCTAAAACTTGTGGACTATTCAAAAACTGAAATGTTCTAGCACTGAAATCAAGAGCAAAATATTGAATCATTTAGAGCAATTGAAAACGGACAATCATGCAAGCAGCAGTCACTCACAGATCAAGTCTCGGCTGCCAAAGGAAAGACCTGAAACTACTACCATGAAATCGGCCCCGGTGATCAAAATTGAGGTCAAACTTCTTCCACTCGATCTTCTTCAGATTGAAGACGATGACACTACTGGGATTATAATTTTCAGTAAAACACGCGTAGTCTCCCTCAGCCTCGATGTGGATAGAGAGTATGCTTGACTCTTCGAAGTCGTAACTTCTGTGTAAGAGGTCGCAAGCGAACTCTGCTGGCATAGTACTCACCAGTTTGGTATCGAAGTGTCTCCTTGGATCTGAAACCTTCCAGAGCTGTACTTTCTCTTTAGGCCATCTACAAATTCGTGCCACGTACAAAAGTCGTCCATACTCAAATATTTGTATCTGGCATTTCCTTCTCATAAAAATAGGCAGAGGAATGTTCTTAAGCTCGTTGGAGACGATCTCGCATAACTTATTCTCCTCAGAAGGCTCAGATTCATTATCGCAAAAGTAGACCTTAGGGTCATAGTTTGGACTCATGAGAAGGAAAGTCCGATCTCCAATAATGCACACATTACTCACGTATCGATTCAATGAGTTCATTATACCTGAATACGTATATTTAGAAGTACCTCGCCCATTCTTACCTTTTCTGTGGAAGTCCGAAATTACTTCCCAAGAGTTTCCGCCTGAAACGTATTTTGATATTCTCAAATACTCAACGTAATGTTGTACATAAATCTGAATAGCAATCAGCTTGATTGATGGCCTTACTTCATAACTTCCAGCTCCACGAGAAGGGAACATGGTCGAGGCTGCCTCGCTGCTGGTACTACTACTTCCAGGAAGCCTATGCCATGGCAACAGAGGGGGCACCTCTCTCGTAGTCCTGTACACTGGATCGTACAGCAAGTAGACATACCTCTGCTCTTCTTCTCGCCAGCGTGCGAACATCAAAAGGCCAGCTGTTGTAGAGATCAATTTCAGACACGGATCTGTTGTTAGACGGGGAAGAGGCAATCGACTCCAAGGGAATATCTCAGCCTCGTTATTAATCCATTTGCTGAGTGGAGGAGTTACGAAAATATTCTGCACACCAGTATCTGTGAGCAACAAACGTGGTCCATTTTTCTGACAAGAGGAAGCTGCGTTGCATGAGATAGACAGATGCGGTTGGTTCAGAATGGTATTCCACCAAACGCACACAAGTCGATTCTTCACCCACTCGGTCCACTCCAGTCTTTCAAGAATGTTCCTAAAGATTGGTTCTGGGAGGTTTTGAATGCCTCCTTGGGGCTGCCATTGTTCGCCCTCTTCGTGTGTGATGATCTCCTGTCCGGCTTCTTCCAAAGACATCGACGTCATTCCTTCCTGCGGGACTTGATAACATTCTTCGAGATCTTCCTGTACCATGACGCCTTGCGATGGCATCCGTTTGTCGACTTTTCCCTAAGAGTTCAATCTATGTCCTCCATCCAGACAATCCTGATCTTTGGCTTCAGAAAGAAAATTCCAAAGATGAATGGCTAGAACCGACTGATGCATTATAAGACAATGCAGGTGAGCGTGGATAGGACGTGGACCTCGAGCAACTATGATCATCGGAGCGCTGCCTTGGAGCAGCAGAATGGTTCTGTTAGTGTGACGCTAATGTTTTGACGTTACCATATTTTGAGCTGTTGTTCTGAACTGTCATACTACGGAGAGAACAAATAAAATCTGGCTGTTGAAGCTCTTCGTTCGTCGTTACTAGAAACATAAGTTCCATTTCACGATACTCCTAATGTTCTGAAACCATTCAGCATATGGAAATATGGTCCGATGGAAAAGAACAGAAAAAATTTCGGTTGCTGAAGCTCTTCGTTCGTCGTTAATTGAGACAGAATTCCGTTCCAACAGAGGATAAATTTTAATCTTCTGAAAGCATTCAGCGTGTAGACATATGGTCCGTAGTCATAGAACAGATATAAACTGGCTGTTGAAGCTATTCGTTCGTCGTTACTTATAACATGATTCCGTTCCAACTGACGATACTCTTATTTTTTGAATTCATTCTGCGCTTGAAATTATGATCCGTAGAAAAATGATCAGGTGTAAATTGGCTGCTGAAGCTCTCCGTTCGTCTTTATTCGAAACATAAGTCCGTTCAGACTGACGATACTCTTGATCTTTTAAAATCACTTTGCGTTCAGAAAGATGGTTCGTAAGGATAGATCAGATTTAAACTGGCTGCTTAAGCTCTTCATTCGTCGTTACTAGACGCATAAGCCCGTTCCAAATAATGATACTCTAATGCTACAAAAATTATATTGGGAAGAATAATTCTCCATGTGGGGATCTAGTAAAGAAAACATGATTAACTTTTTTTGGCTTTTTGCAAAATTAGATAGCTTATGGTAAATTTCACCTGGACTTTTAATATTATCATGGGAAGTTGAGAATTGAGAGCCTTGTGTATATGAGTTTATGTGTGCCCGAGGGAGAGACATCAGAGTAAAACCTCGCAATCCAAACATGTGAAGAAGGCTTCCCTATGCACGATATGCATTGCTGTGGTCTCATGAGGTAAAAAGAGAGTATTCTATGGACATGTATAGATATCGTTTGGACAGATCAAAACATTTTACGTCATAACATGGTTACTGGTAAGAAAGGTGCTGAAACCAAAGTAGAATTACTAATTCAATAATTCCAAATGCTAATGCTAAGTACAAAAGTGCCCAGTCGCCGAAGTGAAAGTGCCAAACAAAGTGCTATTACAAGACATTGAAGCACAAGTGCAAAAAGGTGAGGAACAAAACGGTATCGCTGACAAGACAAGTATCAAGTTAGAAGGTGGTGACAGAACTAAATAGATGACCGTTGGAAGAGACAAGGGACACAATAACCTTGTGCGTTAGACTTGACATAATTTTTCTATAAAAAAATCAGATTAATTTGTGAAGAGAAAAAAGAGATACATCGATGAAAACAGAGTGATGTTATGTAATAATAGTGAGAATACTCAGGAAATTTTGTTGAAGAGAAGAAAAAAGAATCTGACACAAGGTCAAATTTAGTAAAAATGAGGGTGTTCAGCTGGGTACAACTTTGATAAAAAGTTGCAACCGAAAAAAAAGGACTAAATTTGAGCTTAAAAATTGAGATAGGATACTGGTTGAACTCAAGGTTTTGGGTTTTTTTAAGTTGAAAATTGAATTTGAATTTATAAAAAATTTCGGATGTTATCATGAGTGTTGCAAATTTTGACAGATATGTTTCAATCTTCAAAAAATCTATTTTTTTATATTAATGTTAAAAAATTATTCATTTTAATCAATGTTGAATGCCTTTTGCTATTCAAAACTTGAAGTCTAGTATTGATTAGAGTGATGATTGGAAAGTACAATCAACTTCATTTCAATTTATGCATATTGCTTTGTGATACATTCAATGATTGTTATAAAATTTAAAAACTTAAATATATATATATATATATATATATATATATATTGATAACATGAAACAAAAAAGTTCTTCATTAACCTTGAATCTTAATGAAAAAGACATTTAGTAGTTCTAGTTTGCAGCACGAAAAAAATAATAGAAAAAATTCGTTAATAAAACCTAAAAAAAAATTACTTTACTGTTTCCATATCAAATTTATATGAAAATAAAACACTCATACTTACTTATGAGATTAATACTGAGATATTATTCGATCTCAAAGAGAACAATAAGACAATTAGTTGCAAGATTTACTTGATTAAACATTACTTTTGTCAAAGAATCATGTAGAGACTTTTAGAAGATTGCAAGATTGATTGAACAATTATTTTGACAATAAGCCATATACTTAATTGAAAAAAACTGGGTGCAACCAAATGGAGTATTAAAGAAAAATAACCGCAGAGCATGCTTTGCACAGGTTGTGAATTAGTGTGAAAAACTTAGATCGGGACATGGAGTTCAAGGAGTTCATGAAAAGTTACATCTTTTGGCGGAAATTATGTCCACTATTTATCATATTTGCGACGTGAAGATTAATTGACTTCTTACATTAATCTACTTTTAGAGTTTTATATATATGATTAACCTGCTTGCTTGATATACTGTGCCAAACAAAAGAGATCCATTCAATACGGAAATATATATTCAAGACTTTGATTGAGATCCAAGATTTTATTGCATGCGATGAATTGACTTTTTGACACGATTGCATAAATACAATTTGAAATCAGGTAATACTTTTGCTTGGAGTATTAGAAGAGTGAAAGCATTCATGGGTGCCTTTGCGATGAGTGTTGAGAATTTATTGGTGTGTTTTAAAGCGTCATTTGTAACTGTAATAAATTTTATTTGGGAATGTTCAGTGGTGAGATGCGACACTGTGTGATATGACGTAATTATATTGTTCTATATTAATATTTTGTAAATATTGATTGTCAAATCATATACAATTGTAAGATAGGAGAAAAATTGAAGACACTGTTTTCGCATGCAAACTCTGAAGTGCGTCAACTTGGATTGCTATCGGCTGTCTATGAAATTAACTAGACAAACTTGCATGAGTTGACAAGAATTTCTGTGAAAAATAGAACTGTGAACAGCAATATATTTGTATGTGGATTTATTCTTGAATAACATCAATTTATAAAATGAATCATGAGTTTATCTCCTTCTCAAAAATCTGATAGTTCAATGTATTAACTCATGTTGCTGATCAAATGTACATGCAAAATAACAAAATTATCTGAGTCACAATGTTCAAAGTGAGCATACATATTTACATTTGCATAATTCCTATATTTTTGTTGTTAAATCGTAACTTTTCACGGGAGGTATAAATCCGCTTGACTTCTGGCTCAAAATTGAATACCTTTGCTGCTAAAGTCCGCTAGCAGTAATAGAAAATATGGCTAAGGATTTGCAATCAACTATTCATGTCAAAGTAGAAGCCAGAATTCTGAACTCCTCAATAAGCTTTGGGAGGTCATGGATAGACGAGATATTTTTAGAAATATCTGAATAACAAAAGAATATGAAAAAAAAAACAAATTAAGATTTAAAACTAAATATATGACTGTATATGTGTCAGATCATGTGTAGGTCTTGGATGTTTTAATTTTTTGTCGTGATACTTTTCTTATTCTTTCTCTCTGATTTGATGCATTTTGCGTCCCTTAGGCATGATTCTAGTTCATATCAGACATGATTTTGCTATATTTAGATCCCGTATCGTTAATCAGATACAGCGTGTATATTCAATCGTATTAAAAGTCCATTGTTTTAATTTCATTCGACAGCAGGAATGGAGGTGGTTATCATATATAAGAAAGCTGTATAAGAACATACATGGAACGACATAGGGAGAGCTGATACTCATTTCTTGATTGAAGCGTAAATAACTTGACTTTGAGCCCACCTGTGCAAAGTGAAACCAACGTATTGACCATATCTACACTTTCCATGAGCAAAGTATGAGGACAAAGTGGAAAACACAAGCATGAAGAATATGGATCACATGGTTTCAAAAAGCCGCTCTTGAAGGGAAATAGGAACAGCTAGAGGTCTGCATATTCTGAACCAAGGCTACTATTCATCAAGAACTCAAAGTGATCTCCTAAGCTCAGCCAAGTCTACCTACAACTCATCACCGTGATGCAAAAGCATGGACCACACCCAGCATTCTGTGATGAGTGAGTTACACAACATATAGCCTCACAGCAAATTACTTTACGACAACGTTAAATATTAAATAAGTTAATTTTACTTGTTAAGTAAAATATCAAATTTTCGGAACTTACATACAATCTTTTTCAAGCCCTCAATTTTACGAGGACATCAACTTAAGGTGATGTTACAATTAAAATTTTCACTCAAAGCATTATGTTGTTTCATTGATAGTAAGTTTCAAATTATGAAGACATACTTCTTCTTTCGGCTATAAGAGGGTGCACGTACTTGTGGTAGTTATACACAAAAGGTAAATGTTGTCACTTTGCACTGGGATGCTCTAATCCTCTCATAATATAATTTTCAAAAGATTTCATTTTATTGCACGCTGCACATTTTTCACTTATACATTAGCTTTACTGGAGTGTGATTGTATAAGTGTTTTCCGACTTACCAGTTGTCATGTACAAGTTTTCAAGATGACGGATTTTCGTCTTCGTCTCCATTTCTTTTGAAAAGTTTAGTAGACATTTGATGTTTTTTTAGGTAAGATATTATCTCCGTCACTTTCTAAAGTTTCAAGCTTGATTTCTTTCTTACTCATACTTTCACTTGCAATACAGTTGTTATTATGCATGTTAGATTTGAAACTCGTCATTTTTTCTTGTCAAGCGTCTCTTTGGAAAAGGTGTGTAATCTTTAGTATATATCCGTAGCATGTTTGTAGTCATTTCCCTTTGGTAAGCCCTACATAGAAACTAGTAGCCAAGACAGAACTGAAGCGTCTCATGTTTTGGGCCAAGATCATGTTTCAAGCTTACCAATCATCATATTGGCCACGAAGATCAGTGTTGAAGGCACCAGACATTGAAAGTTTCTACCAGGCCACCTTAGCTTTGGAGTAGATCGACAGCGAGCCACTCTCGATTCGTTTTATATTACAACGCTTATCCAGAACCCGCTGTTCCGGGTTTCCACACGCCTCAAAAAAGGACGTAAATGTGACATGACTTTACAGGAAATCTAATTTCACAAGGGTGTCTGCATTCCTACCTGATCAGCTCGTCAACGAAAGACATCTCGAACTCAGAGACATCTCAAAAAATATAGGGGGCTAGCAACTTGAAAGCTTTGGCAATCAATCAGTCTGTCAGTCAATCAATCAATCATTCATTCAATCGAGAAGCGGTCCGGCCTGCAAGATTTGCTGCGTTAAATTCGAGTCACCTCCGACTTCGTAATCCGCAAAGTTGCAGAAATTCTTCTGGAACAGGCCTGCGAGCTTCTTCAGAGTTTCCGTGTACGCGGCCCTGTCCTTCCAACTATTCTCCGGCTGGAGAATTTCCGAGGGCACGCCGGCCACGGCCTTGGGAACATGGAGCCCGAAGATGGGCGTCTCAGAGAACTCGGCCTCGAGAAGGGAGCCGTCGTGAATGGCGTCGATGATGCTTCTCGTGTAGGCGAGCTTCATGCGCGAGCCGACGCCGTAGCTGCCACCGGACCAGCCGGTGTTGACCAGCCAGGCGGTGGCGCCGTGCTTCTGCATCTTCTCGGCCAGCATGGCGGCGTACTTGGTGGGGTGCATCATGATGAAGGCCGCACCGAAGCAGGCCGAGAACGTCGCGGTGGGCTCGGTCACGCCGTCCTCCGTGCCGGCGACGATGGCCGTGTAGCCGCTGATGAAGTGGTACATGGTCTGCGCCAGCGTCAGGCGGCTGACGGGCGGCAGCACGCCGAAGGCGTCGCAGGCCAGAAGGATGAGGTTCTTCGGGTGCGGCCCGACGCACGGGATCTTGGCGTTGGGGATGAACTCGATCGGGTACGCGGCGCGCGTGTTCTCCGTGACGCTCTTGTCGTCGTAGTCGATCTCGCGCGAGTGCTCGTCGAACACGACGTTCTCGACCACCGTGCCGAACTTGATCGCGTCCCAGATGTCGGGCTCGCGCTCCTTCGACAGCCCGATGCATTTCGCGTAGCAGCCGCCCTCGATGTTCGACACGCCGTCGTCGCCCCAGCAGTGCTCGTCGTCGCCGATCAAGAGCCTGTTGTGATCAGTCGACAGCGTCGTCTTGCCCGTGCCCGACAGCCCGAAGAAGAGCGCGACGTCGCCGGCTTTGCCCATGTTGCAGCCCGAGTGCAGCGACAGGATGCCCCTCTTGGGCATCAGATAGTGCATCAGACTGAACAGCCCCTTCTTCATCTCGCCCGCGTACTGCGTGCCCAGAATCACCATCTCTCTGCGCTTGAGGTTCACGTCCACGCTCGTGGACGACGTCATGTAGTGCGTGTACCGATTGCAGGGGAACTTGCCCGCATTGTAGATCGTGAAATCGGGGGTGCCGAAGTCCTCGAGCTCCTCGGGAGTCGGGCGGATGCACATGTTGTGCATGAAGAGCGAGTGGTAGGCGCGAGCTGAAATGATTCTTACCTTGATTCTGTTCTCCGGGTCCCAATTCAGGAACTGATCGTTCACGAAGACTTTGTCGAGCGAGTTGAGGTAATCGACCGCTCTCTCCCTGTTCACCAAAAATGTTTCCTCGTCCATCTCTATGTTGGGAGAGCCCTTGCCCCACCAGAGATCGTTGTGGGAGCTCTCTTCAGACACCACTCGCTTGTCCTTGGGAGATCTTCCCGTCTTCGCTCCAGAGAGTGTGGCCAGAGCTCCCGTGGATGTAATGTACGAGCCCTTCTCGGATTTCAGTGCCTGCTCGTACAGCTCGGCGGGCGAGAGATTGTAGAGGACGTGCGTGAACTTCAGTGCGCTGTCACTCATAGCCTGGAACTTCGGGCCGCGTTCGTACCTGCTGCCGAACCCTGTGACCGAAGCTGCGGATGCGTTGCCAGGCTCACCTCTCACCACTTGCGGTCCACTCTCTCGAGTGAGGGAAGCGAGGGACGTACTGATCGACTGCAATTGCTGTCGTTGCCTCTCTTCCTCGGACCTGGGGGTGCCTGCCCCTCTGGGAGTCATGGCTCCTCTGGGAGTGTTGGGGGCCGATTTCTTCTGCAGTGAATGCAATTCCTCTAAATTCTGTGCCCGGACGGTCGGCACGCTGTCGTCTGCGCACACGTCGCTCGTTCTTCCCATGGTGGTGTCAAGCTTTTTCAGGCCTTTGAGGCCACTAATGTGGAGGTCTGCCATGCCCGAACTCATGTTGCCTGAATATCACAGAAGTTTTGACCCTAGATCTGAACGACACACAGCATGGATATGCACAAAGTTCTGCTGTTAGAAACGCCTCGCTCACTCTCAGAACCGGATTTGCTGCGATCACAGCTCAGGGCTCACACTGCGTCAGAGTTCGCAAAGAAAAGTAGAACTTTATGCACATCGACAGGAAAGGCTCGGGCAAGCAAGAGGGCAGATCTCAGCGTTCAGTTTCACTTCTCCAAATTCCAGAATATAAAATGTCGCAACCGATGAAGGGAATGGCTAAGTCTCCGCAAACTGGTAGTCCTGATGGATGGAAGGAGCTCTATGTCGGCACTGACCAGCGTCACCTATATCTCATGCAAACTCGTACGAAAGATCTAAATCCAAATCCGAATGATACGTCGTCCGGCTTTTACCATGATTCTGTCGATTTCAGGTGTGATTCCGCTAGAGGAATCCCAGAAAGGAAAAAAAGGCTACTAATGACGGATCTTCAGGAGACCTGTAGTCCGTACCTAGAAAATGGGAGAAGTCATTCCAGTTTGAAACTCTGTATCTCTAGAAATTACGAGCCTTCTGATCTATGGGTAGCATAAAAGGAGAAATCGACTCTGATTAGTCCTCCGGCTTCAACATTCGAGCATGCTGCTTCCAAGCTCAAGAAGCAGATGTGGGAGATTGCGAAGTAGTCCTTACCAAGGTCCGCCTGGTGTTTCTATGCACACAAGCCAGAAATAAAATTTTCTGCGTATCCCCTTTCACAGCAAAAATCTGCAGTTCCTCCGGTTCCAGGTTCTGGTAAGAGAAAACCCCTTGGACTATATGGACGAGGCCTGGACTTCGAATTGGACAGAAAACGGTGTGGAATCAATAATCGCTTTTCATAGGAATCAACAACTGCGTGAGGGAGAGGTACGACAGCTCCATGAAGCAGAATCACCTCCAGCTATCTGCCTTGTCTGTAGACACCGCACCTGAGAGTTAAAATAGGGGAAAGCGAGCAAACGAGAGCCGTGAAGAAGGAGAGAAAAGACGGCGAAGCGATCGACGATCCAAGCCAAACCCAATCCTCCACGTGATGAGCATTCAAGACACACAGAGACACACACACACGCACACACACAAACAGAGGACACGGGAACCTTCGACACGCCAGTAGTGAAGGAAAATCAGAGCGGAAGAAACGACGATAAAACACGCGCCGCCGAAGGCAAATGCCCAATCCAGGGCTCGCCGAAGGTTTACGGCGAGGAGCAATAAGTAGAGGAGCTGGAGCCCCCTGTAAAATCAAGTCCGGGGCGTGTCGATCGCTCGGGCTCGTTATTTCAGCTGACCTCCTTCCATTCTACGCCTCCGCCCGATGTCATCGGGTTGGTCGGCTTTCTGTGCCGTCACGGCTCCCGATTATTTCTGATTAAAAGATTTGCCCCCACCCTCCCACAGTGTACAAGTTCTCGCTTATCGGATTCACGAGGTACGAGAATTCCAAAGAGGCTGCAGACTTTCCGATACGCTTCCCCACCTCGACATCGACCGACGGCGAGAAGCCGGACCGCACTCCACGAGAGATTCGGGGCCCCTCCATGAGCGTCACTCGCGACCGAGTCAGCCCGTCCTCGAGCTGCCTCGGATCGAACCTGGTCCAGTCCACCGGTCGAGGCAGCGGGCCACATCCGGTCCGCCCATCCGATTCAGCGTCGCCGCCGAAGGGATTCGAGGAAGGTGTCCCTATTCGAGGAAGGTGTCCCTATCGACTCCGCGGTTCACCCGGTGAGGGCGGGGGTCACAGAGCTGCTCCCTGTTTCGGTCGCTTGTGGGCGTGACCGGCGCACGGGATCTTGACTGTTTGCAATATGGCGCCAGTTCTATATTGACTCAGTTCGCACCGACTTTATTGCCATTGCGAGTGGCGCACGTGGTGCTCGACCTTCGCGGGCTCCGAGTTGATGACCGGCATGACCCCGTCGATGACTTTTTCCCGTATTGGGCCTCCGCTCTTCGGTGCACGATTCGTGGCATGTCCATGACATGTCATGTTCTCGTTCCTCCAGCTCACAGGTCACGATTCGAAGCTTTGCTCTTATCTGACTCAGCCGATTGCCCACAGTGACCGCCACATTCCACCGGGAACAGGGGTCCAGATCGGATAGATTCCTCCTGCTTCTCGCTGACGTCACCAAAATAGGGAACCTTTAGCGGAGAGGAAACAGTGCGGCAGCAGTTCAGACGGTCATGAAGATAAGTTTGTTCACGAATATTCTGCTGGAGAAGAATATTCTCAGCAGCAACCCCGGTCTTGCAGCTGCTTCACTGTGACCTGCTCCGCTTCGTGACCGCCTACGCAGTAAACAGCGCTCTCAACCATGGCTGCACTGAATCTCGTCGCGATTACTGTGTCTCATTCCTTGTGACGGCGCAGAATCGTGTGTTCGGCGCCGTCTCGATCGTGACTGCGGATCGCAAATGCGGGGACCACTTTAGCGCCGGATCTCGATGAATGTTCGCTCGAGTCCTCATCCTCGCCCACGATCGTGATCTACCTACGGCTCGATGAGTTACCTCGAAGTTTAGCATGATCTATGGCGTGGAATTGGATTCGACTGGATTGATCACCGTCCTCCGAGTCTGACTTAGACGCCGCTGAATCGTCAACGGGGAGGACCGTCATGGCAGGCGTATCTGCATGAACCTGTCAGTGATATGAAGTCCTGACTGACGACACAGTGATTCTGGCTCACAGTTACGATGCCACCTTTCGAGGTCCGTCAAACCACCACCAACTCAAATTGTGTGCTTCTTTTCTCGATTGGCGACTCTGGCATTGCGCATCTGCCAAAGCTTCTAGACCTTCCAAGCTTTTCGGGCTCTGTGAAGCCCCGGCTCAATCGAACCGAGGACAACTTCTGGAATCAGAACAATCGACTCTCCAGAGTCTCTCGGTGCTCTAAGTTTGACTCTCTCTCCTCACAAAGTCATCTGACTCACATCTGTACGGAGTCTGTTTGTTCACCCCACCCGGTCCTGTTCCGTCTCTCTTCTCGTCCACAAATTGCGTCGTTATCTGTACTCGAATGGGGAACGTGAAAAGGTTCAGCAGCCAATACTTTCGTGACGAGATTTTTTCCGCACGGATGAACCTGTTACAGCACGTCTTGAAGTGGACGATTTCCGGTGGCAACTAACACGATTGGTCATCGTTTGACGCCTGAAGCTGAGTTTTATGCGAAGCGATGGAGACACTGCCAGCCACATACATTAGATGCGAGATTACAATAGCAGCGTGTCGACCATCTGGCACTCCACGATCTTAAAAACGTTCACTTTTGCTCTCCTCCCCTCATACTGGCTGAACATGCACATACTCAATTCTTGTGTTCCTGGATTGCTTACAGCTTTCGACTAGATTTCGCAACGCGTCCAGTTCGGTACGTTCGATGCTCTCCTTTTCTCCAGCTCGTGCGAGATCAAAACTTGCTTACGACAGTATCGATTGGACCTAGGAAGCTACATGTAGCCCACTGTAGCTTCCTGAGACAAAATCTTAATGAATGCTAGATTCAAGACCGAAAATATGATTAAGTACAAGTCTATCCAGCTAGCTAGAGCACGAGGCTCTCCGGCAGCCCTTCATAGAGCTCATACCGATACGCTACACTAGAAGCGCAGAGTATATAACTTGCGACCATTCATAATCCAGACCTGAACGACTAGTCACGGAAGCTATAGTGCATGCAACTTGTAACTCAAGCACAGCTGCGTAGAGACGAGACAGGTCTTCTGATTGTGAATCATGGAGCTAAGTTTATTGTCTAGTCTTTGCAACGGATCAGGCATCCTAAGAGTGCTGAGATTCTGTCACTCATCTTCATCTTCAGTGTGATGACACTGAAGAAGGTTTCTACCTTAAAGTTTGGTTCACTTGAAGAACGCAGCTATCTCTGTCGATGTTGCAGTTGTTTGAACCCAAGGATTTTAAGCTGAATTTGGCATTGAGTGTTTTGGTCGCGTGATCTGACCAGCTTCGTGTAAAGCTCGGAGGAGAGACAGCCTTTTCATCAGCTTATTGTGTTCGCTCTTACACGAATAATAACAAAAGTACCTAACGACAAGGCGAATGCTGGCGCTATCACCACGAGTCGACAGGAGAACTACTCCTGACATTTCGGTGCATCTGAGCTTCCTGTGTTGAAGGCGCAGGATATCAGTGAGAGGGTTCATATAACCTCTCAGTCTTGGTGCAGGGGGACGAAGGAGGGTGTAATCGACTCTATTTGCTAGAGCATCACTGTCCATTTGATTTTGTTGCAGAAGAGTGCAGTTCGGAGCTCAAGTCCAAGACCTTCACCGCAAACAAGAATATGGAGGTCTTTGGAACATTATGGCAGTATCGGACTTCATAAGCATCAATGCAAATGGAAGCAAAGCTGATTGGGCCTCACTGTCAAAAGAAAATTACTATGAGCTCACAAAAACTTCGATACATGATTGTGATTTTTCTTCGATGATGGGTAATATGGTGCGGACAATAAAGCCCGTCGTGACCTAGCCACGAATGAGTTCAACTTTTCTGGAGTTTACAGCAATTCATCGAGACAAATCACCTCTGGAGACAGACGAAGAATCAAAGTGGACCTCTGTTTTCAACAGCTGCGTTTCATGCTTCTGACATATATCGGAATGATTGGAACAACTCAAGTGTGATCATCAGTATGTGCCATCGACTCTCGGCCTCCTGCGAACAATTGAAGCAAATTATGGTATTGAATTTACAAAGAATCACTGACAAACTGGAAGTTTATTATTCCCGTCTCGTTTCTAATTTGAACGCATACTTCTTCCTAAGATTATTGCGGGATGATATATCTATTGATGCTCCCTGATCTCGCGAGTAATTCCGTATACAATGGCCCTAGAGAAGGTTTGAGAAGAGATTTTCCTTTTGATAAGCTTGTCCCTCCACGATGTTACAGGGATCCATGTGAATCACGAGTTTGAGTCCTCGCTGTTGGATATACACAGATCATCAGAGTTGAAGCGTGTCGTTATATTGGCTAACGCCAGAGGGTTCGAGCCTTGTGGCAATCGGGTCAAAACCTGTGGCATCTGCCACCATAATTAGTTTATCAGAAATCCGAGATACCAACCAGTCCACGCAAAGTGCAAGTGTCATTCAATAGCACTTCTAGCATGAAATGGAAACAGGTGCAGCTACTCAGGACCTGATTCAGAAAGAGATTTTTTGTCCACTTTCTTGTGATGTCGAGTTTTCGGGAGACAGTACTACGTATTAAAGAAAGTTCGTTTCCGTCGAGATTCTTAGCTGCTCAGAGATTCCTGTCCGTAAGCAGTTTCTTTTATGATACCTCAATTCTGGACTTAATGTGCGCCAGAGTCTGTACTCGACGTCCCTGATCACGTTCAGGTTGGAGAATCAAACGCGTGAGTTCGGGATGTCAGTCGACTTCTTCTAATGATATTTTCAGAGCATAACTAGCGATGAGTTTCTTCAAGTTGAGATCGATCAAGTCCAAGCTCAGGTTCGGCATCTTGGTCACACACGATGAAGGTTACCATGCTGCAGTTATTCTTATGGTGCCTGTGCTTGGATTCAGGCTTATTTCATCTATGTGTTCACCAGAGATCTGCACCGCGAATCAGTGTTAGTTGAGTTTCTCCATCCTTGATGCAGTTGGGCGATGCCCAAAATAATATTTCTCAAGAAAAACTTGGTGTGAAGAACTCGCTGATGAGTCTACTTCAACTTGTCACCACATAAGAACTCAGTCTGTCGATGAGGTATCACCACTCGCACTATGTACAGTGCTAGCAATCCTTTGGATAAATTTCTTAAAGTAGACGTACGTCTATTTATTTGGGCTTCACCGATAAACTTTTGCTATCCGAAGAAAAAAAAGGGAGGATTTGCTGGACTAGCTGCTAGCCGAGCTTCTTCTATTCGCACTTGTCATAAAAATGCCAAAACCAATTGGTTTTGGCATTTTTATGATTTTGATTCCTGATCCAGGAATCGTATTATAATGCTTGCAAAAAATGCTTGTTGAAGAATTTCGAAGGGGCTTGCACATTTGCCTTACATCTTCGCATATACTCAAAGCGAACTTCAGATTTGGCGCTTGTTACCTGTTGACTGGAGTTTTAGATTGTGAGAGAATTTCAAGTTCATTATCGTTGAATACAACGGTTTACATTTGACAAAGTTGTTGATAAAGTTGTACTCCATATTGCTCTCGGATCAACGACCCATTCTCTATTTGAACTCATGACAGCGTAGTGTGACCAGCGTCTTTCTTAATGTCTTGTTCGAATTGCTGGACTTCTGAGTTATGTAAGACATGAAATCTGAGTCGATTTATAGTGGAGCTCATGCAGTTTTTCGGGGCTTTCTTTGTATGCTAATCGAAGGTACAACAACTTAGATTTTCGGCGGATGGAATCGGGCAAGTTGTCCTGGCTCGGGAACAGGTTCATGGATGCATTCGAATCCTTCCAGAAGCATTCGTTAAAAGGGTTTTAGGAGAGATCGCAGAGGACATAGTACATCAGATCGATTAGTAGTAAGCTTTTCGTGGAATATCATTTTCAAGCACCCAATTGGCTGAACACCAAGTACAGTGATGCAGTATGTTCTTGTTAAATAGAAGGACCACGGTGCTACTTACGATCACAGATAACATTGAGGCTTGTGTAAAGCGACCCAATGGCAATGCATGATAACATCCATACCTGGAGTTCACTCTATCCTGTGATGTTTGCAATCAGCACACAAGTACATGGTGATTTTTGTACTAAAATTCGCCTAAGTATGTTCGGGACAACTGCTTCCAATTCAGCTGTTAAGTCTTCTTTAGAAAGTGAACACGGTAGACTGCTTCGATAGTGGAGAATTAGGTACCCAGTAATTGAGTCTTGAATTGTACCATATTACATGATTTTGATATAATTTTGAACATTAAATTTTATATGAGGTTACTAGAAAATTTCTCCGTATTGTGATTTTCAGGTTGTGAATATATAGTGCTAAAAAAATTGGATATTAAAAGATTATAGCAATGTGCAAGAATTTTGAAGTCAGTTTGATTTTATGTGTTCTCTTTGATGATCATATTCGCTGATGATGTGACGATGTTTTTAGATTGAGCCAATCCAATCTAAACATTCTAATTCTTTATCACAGAGTCGAAACCACGATGTAAATACGATGCTATGGAATGTTGAATAAGAATGGTACCTATTTCCTTACCAACTTTCATAGCATACTGTTGTACAAAAGATTCTGGGCACTCCCTGAAATTCCAAGTTCATTGTAATGAAGATATGCTCCTCACGTACCTCTTGATACTCGCCACAATAAATGTTAAATTTCACAGCAACTTCAAAATGATTTATAATGACATATCTTGTCACGGACTCTTTTCCAGACTTCGGCCACCATGCGACTTGATATCTGCTTACTATATATAACCACCCGTACGAAGATAAACTTTTAATGAGAAGCTGGAGGTGAAGCAGTAAATCAGGACTTGATTAGAACAAAAGTAGCTCTTCAAGGTGTATAACTTCCAGTTTACATACTGCTGCATTTTACAAATTCTGGAGCCACTAAAATGATATTTGATCAGATTATAAATCCGCCAGAAAATAGATGACGCGGAGCGAAAGGAAAAGATGGGAACGTAAGCGGAAGCCACCGTTCAAAATTGTCACGTTGAGAGAACACAACTCATCTAGAAAGGATGCAGTTCTATGAGTGGAAACTCCTGAACGTGTGATGCTATAGACCGATAATTTATTATTGAGAGGCATGAACTTCAAGATGTGAAAGGAATTGCTCACAAATGTAGAAACTATCTGTAAATCTGGGAATCATATCGTGGACTCAACTGGAGAGTCATAAAATTCTCCTCCAGTTCATTCATGTTGTGATCCTACATCCACTCTGGGTTGCCATAGATGAAGTGACCGAAGTTTGTCTTGACGTATATAATGTTGATCCAAGCTGACGAGAATCTGACCCATGATATGGTATTATAGTTGAAGAATGTGACGGATGTGTGGGGTTTGGAATTCACAGATCCAGACGTAGTCTCCTACGGCTGTAAGGCAACAGTCAAATGGCGTCCGATGGGGGAACTTCAGTCGAGGTGAAACCCCTCAGTTCAGGCATGATACTCGCCCTAATCTCCTCCCATGGAATCACTCACTGTCTATATATTAAACATTATTAGTTCCAAACAATATGAATCTCAAAAAAAATATCAGATTCACAGTAAACTACGACGCTAAAAAAAAAAAGGTTATGAAAAAGAGATTCGTTGAAGCTTGTCGTCTGGAATGATTTGCCCTACATGGTGATGTTGCTGTAAAATGTTTGAGTGCGGATGTGCTTCCAAATGTCCAGGCAGAGGAAGAATACTCGAGAAAACAGTTGAAGATACTTCAATAAAATCTATAAAAAAACTCAAACTGAATTTTGTACGTGGTGACAAATGGCCTTATGAGAACAAAACTACGAGCTTCGAATGATGCATTTCCATGCATTTTGCAGAGACCTAGAGTTCATCGAAGGTGAATAAATAGATCAATTTGCAAACACATGTGATTCAATCTAATATCTCTCTACAGTGTACACTTCTCCAATGAGCGTCCTTTGCGCATACGTGAAGAAAACAAACAAGACAGATAGACTTCCACAAACTTCAAGTTAATTCCAACCTCATATTACAGTATATGATGCTAAATTACGCCTTCAATGTGCCAAAATGACGAGCAAGTAAACGAGGAACATACTTTCAAAAGGTAAAAAGGAGAGCTTCAATCTAATCTCCTGCTGTACTCCAATCTTTGAGTCGGATAAACCGCTGGATTTTCTGGTATCTGTTTTCATTCTCGTGCAGCTCGCTTTACGTCTACAACCAGTGCGCTTTCCGCATGATTTCATTGCGCACACTCCATTCTTGTTGCAGGGGTTCCTCTTATCAGCCGATTTAGCTCAAGACGAATTGCGTCCAGTTCTTCAACTGCGGCTTGGAGCCTTCCCCTGCTCAAAACCAGGAGCATCTTCATTTGGAGAATCCTGATCCTCAACATTCCCATTTCTTTGCCCACCCACGGTATGAACGCGATAGGCAAAAGAAAGATAACACCGCAGAATCGGTAAAAGCCTTCTGACGGAAAATCAGTGGTCATGATGCACCCTTTTCACCCGAATCTTGATTTAATTCTTCGGGATTCGGAGTGCTTTCCACTATTTCATTCTACCGGAGGCTCGATCGAGGTCACCGACGCAGTGAGATGGCGATTCGCATCACAATCGGCCCCACTGCACGCCCTGGGATCAGCTTCGAAGCTTGTGGTGTGAAGAAGAATCTGGGTGCGACCAGCGGCTGTGTGAAAATGCCCGGTAGTTACCGTGGGGAGTACTCAACGGCGTATCGATCAGCATTTTCAAACTTCCTATCGAAGCTCGAGTGAGCAAGAGCTCAGCAGAGAACATTGTAGATGCTGATGCTTCACTAGAAATAAATCCCGACATTTTGTCACGAGATGGAAAGTCCACCGACTTAAAAATAGTCGAATTGCTCGAATTTCTTTCATGTACGTCTAAGTAGAATCAAGAAATATTTACGCTGGAACAATTAAACCAGCTTCTTTTTTATCATTTATTATTATTATTATTCATAATAGCTTCAGTCTTACGTGGGAAGAGTTAAACACATCTGCTTAAATATTGTTAGCTCCAGAAATACTGCGGAAGGTTTGAGGGGACATTACTCCGAGTTCTCCTCAGGGTGATTCTATACTGTCCTCGGACTTGTATCAACTCGTTCAATACAGAGTGAATACGTAGATACGCATTCGCTGTTGATAAATCGTCATAAGAAATCATGGTTATTTTAGTGGACGTTAGACCGAGTCAAGTGAAACACCTAAATGGAATCTCCCTCTAGCGCCTAAATTAACCGAAGGATCTACGCTGTAATCGAGTCAGAACTGGAGCGTAACCTACGATGATTGTTAATCACTTTATTATCGCTCCAGTCTCATTGCTCACTAGCCTCACAGCCCGACTGCAATATTCTTAATATTTTTAACATAATCTCGCATATTTCTCGATGTGAGAATACCTTTGGTTATATGTATCATTTGGAGACCTGAAGTTAGTTTAAATTCAAACCCTGAAGTTAAGTATGGAAGATTATTTACTTTAGACTGTAAATGTGACCTTTAGTTTGAGAAATCTATTGTAAACTTGTACAATACTATTCACATAAGGATGAATTATGAAATGAAACTGCAAAAGAAAAACTCAATTGAAAGCATTTGAGGATTGATAGGTAGGGTACTCGTTTATTCACAAGTGTTCATCAAATAAATAAAGGATAACTATAACTAAGACTTAAATTGGGTATTCTATTACAAGATGGTTCTCTCGAATCCCCCAGAATCTATATTGGAGTACATCAAGTACATAAACAATAGCTGTAACTAAAATTTAAAATACATCAAATTACAGATTTAGATCTCGAAAATAGCTAGTCGATCACAAGATGGTTATGCCGCTCTAAAATCCTCCGGAACCTTAATCGGAAGATAGTACTGTATGTCAATAGGTACATGTCATCGTATACTTCTTCTACCATTTCAAGCGTTTCTATCGTCATCTCGAAACTTCAACAATTAATACATTTCTTAGCTTTAATTGATTCCACACACTCCCTCAATGCTTCCACAGAAGAGGTCAACACCACACCGAGTTTCTTTATTTTGTCCGAGCAATAGTTTTCCTCACGAGGTGGTCCATTATCTTCACACCTGCAAATGTAGAGGAGCTCATGATGAAACCCATTGGCAGTGGCCATTTCATATAAGGAGGAATGATTATGATGCTCTCAGTCCGAAAATAAGATATGTAACAGATTTTGAAGTGTACTTTACGTATTGAAGAAAACCATGAAGTAACAGTGGAACTGGAATAAAAGGACAGCACTTACTTTTCGGGAACGGGGCAATTTGGGCATATGATTCTTAATATTTCTGCAAGTTCCTTTGCATGTATCGTCCTCTCAACCAGCGGGTAACGCCCTTCGGCTGATGGATCTTCAAAACCAATAATATGTGCCAATGCCGCGTCCTTCACATGAAGGAATCCAAAGACTCGATTCGGGATTTTCTTTAGTGAACCTGGGGAAATATCACTCCAAAGCTTTTCAGTACCAAAGATTCCCTACATCCAAATCCATTCAGAGACTTACATTGGTCGTGCATACCCCATAACATTCTTTTTCGATTGCAAGATGCTCATGGAATGAACGTATCCCTGGTAAGTGAGCTCTGAAATGGAACATGCAAGCTCTCATGTCTAAAGAAAGCGTGTAGAACGATCTCATTACCCAAATTTTATGACCAAGGTACTCTGAAGCAATTAATGGAATGAATCATAACTCTGGATGCTTGGCAACTAGTTTGTGAGTCAGCTGGATGAATATTCTCACCGTTCAGATAGTTCATGACAATCCACGTGCTGGCATTTACTGAACCTTGCAAAATGGGACCAACCATAACCCCCGGATTCATGACCACTACGTCCAAGCCTTTCTCTTTCGCGAAATTCCACGCAGCTTTTTCTGCTAATGTTTTCGAAAGGGAATACAACCCCAGAGAACTCTGACCACCACTCGAATTACAGATGGTGTCAATCTCTAGAAGTCACTACGAGTAATTCAAATGCCCACATGGAAAATTTCAGAAATTCATCATTTGATACCAAAAAGTCCTGATTTTACCTGAGGGCTTCTGCAATATTCCTCATCACTCCACCAGGTTTCATCTATCACTGCGTTGCCATTTTCCCTGCAAGCTTCAGATTCAAACATGGCAGCAGTGGAGGATGTGACAACAACTCGCTTAACACTCTTGTAACTTTTAGCAGCCTCGAGAACCGTTAAGGTCCCCTGCAATGCAGGCCTCAGAAGGTTGTTCTGCACAAAAATGAGAGAAGTTATCGAGGCAAGTCTTGCAAAGATCAAAGTCTTGAAGTCTATGAAGGACCCTGTAAAATTTGTGAAGCCTAACATTCAGAATAATCTGCTCTACTTTGCTTGTGCATTACAAGCCCAAGATGAATTCAACGTTCACATTATGGTAGTCAATGTGTCATCGTTCATACATTCTGAAAACCTCAAATCCTGCAGAGTTGTGACATGTTTCTGCCATGTGAATTTGCTTTACAGCTAGAAAGTTGTTCCAATCCACAGGAAACTAGTCAAGTAGATATGACCTCTAAATCATCCGGCATGGTCGCTGGAACTGGTGATGCAACGTGGAAGACACCCTCAACCCCGTCAAAAATGGCATGGAAGGATCCTTCTTCCAACAAATTTGCCTTGTAAAGAACAAGTCTTTCTTTTGCTCCTGGCAACTCCAGCAAATGCCTAACTTTGTCCAGATTATCTGATTTCACATGTCAATACGTACACAAAAGGTGAGCATTCCTATCCACTTTCTCACCGAATGATTTTTAACTGTGCCATGGCTGGGCGGCGGTTAAAATTTATGAAGACGACTAGCTCAAGCATTCACATTATGACCACGGTCAAGACATATATCACAATTGATATGTTAAATTGGGAAAAGATCTACCTAGTCAAGTGCTCAGACTCGTCATCATGTCATCTTCACTTAGATTTCTCTGGTCCGTAATGCAATTCAAAGCAAGTAACCTGTCGTAACGATCTCTAGTACAAGTCAACAACTACGATGAGATGAAGAGATAAATTGCCTATCTGATACAGTAGAAACTTTTTCCCCACTCTGTTTTCTTTATATAGCATCTCTCTCAGTATTGGAGATACTAAGAAAAAAGACATGGACCGCTTCTAAGAAGATATATAGATCTCCTTGCAACAAACCAACATCGCCAGCGTGTATAATCTGGAAAAGGTGCAGAACTTACCAAGGAAGTGAACTATGGGTAATTTTTATTACTATAATTCTACAGTAATACTTCGAAGGAATCTCAGTCATATACAATAATATGAATGAAAATTCCTGGAAGGCATACTGCCAACAACAAGAAAAACAGGTATCATGACTCTCAGCCGTTTTCATATGCTCTAGAATCTTTGTGACGTTTTGAAAGACCAAAAGAAAACGTCGTCAGTCAGTAGCAATTTCCAAGACCCTTGCTCACCTGGATTTCTTACCGTTCCTCTCACATTGTATCCACGTTCTAATAAAAGCTTAACGATCCATGAAGCCAGAAATCCATTTGCTCCAGTTACAGCAACTGTTCTTCCCATCATCTCTGCTTACAGTAGCTGCCTTGGAGGTCTTTCCAACTCTGCAAGCTCAATCAATCATTGATGACCCTAAAGAGCATCTATTAATGATCCCTGTTATGAAGCAGGCAGTCAGCTCCAAGAAAATATTGCGCATGCACGAATTACATACTCCAGCCTATCTAGTTTGCATGGGAAGGGTTAGCATTGCATGCTTATAACCAACTGAGTCACAAGAGACCTATACTCAAATCAAGGTAAAAGCTTCATCCAAGTAAGTTGATTCTTGAGTTTCTAAATTCTGAGAAATTTCATCCTCGAGCAGAGACAGAAACATTCATTGCTGCAATATCATCATTATGTTTCGATCATAGTAGGCAGCCATGAAAGACTTCAGTCGTCATGGTGTCAGTTTCCTACTTGGGAATCAAAGCTGTAAATTTATTCAGAATGCTGTAAAACCCAACTCGATAAACAATGCTTGTAGGCTCGCAATCGAGACACCTCTCGTTCACTACAAGTCAGGACAGGAGCTCGCGACCTGCACGGATGATACAGAATTTGTCAGCTAGCAGTGTACTCGTTTGCGAAGAAAAAATCATCTGCATGAAAGCATTGCTACTAACTTGTCTGTCAGCCCAACGCCCAGCCCAACGACACCCGCCAGCACGGACTCCAGTAACGTAGCTTCTGACCACATTTATCTCACTCACCTTGTTAGCAACCGGTTACTTCGTCGACACTGTATGGACGGTTCTGGGGTGAATCTGTGGATTCGAATTTGGTCTCAGTGGGCAGAGTGCTGTGTCAAATCGACAGGAAGAGCTATCGAACATTGGGATGGCAATTTCATTATGGGTTAGTTTTAACTGAGCGCAGACTTTTTCTTCAAGTTTTGAAGTTGGTGCCAGAGTCTTGAGATTCTACCATAGCCGTGACGAACGATCACAAGTTGTTCAGAACGATTCATCGAGCCGTGACAGTAGAAATTGGCTTGTTCGTGATAATACAGTGGACTTCCATGCGAACACTTGACGCGAGGTGACAACTTGACGGTCTAAACACGATAGGCAACCCGTCAACTCACGAAATCAGTGGACTGTGTAGATGCAAAATCATCAAGCAAGAGTCCATTCTTTTCCACACACTCAACCTTTTTGTTACCGAAAGGAAGGGGCAGTTGACTTCCGTCGATATCAACTGCACGAATGCTGAATGGGATGATGCTTGTAGTACTCATCATCGAACGTGTTCTTGTGGCCAGAAACGGCTTCTCTTCTGATTGTTCTTCTCTTAAGGCGTCACTTGCCTTTTTCAAGTGTGGACTCCCGTGTAAATGAGTGAGAACCACAGCATACTCTAAAAGAGTACTCTAAAAGCGTAGTTGAGGGGGATAGAAAAGAACTTTTTTGATAAAGACCATCTCACGGCAGAAAGGTAACGCCTTCGAAAGCCTGGCCCGGAATCATAGGTTTTTCAAGCGAACCTATGATTTTAGACTTTTAACTGTAATCAAATAAAGTCAACATTCAATGATTACGTTTCCAATCTTTGCATATATGTATATACTAGTTCATTATGGAGAAAACTTGACATGATATGATAATTTGCAAAAACTCATTTTGAAAAATGGAGGCTTCTTAAAATCTTCATTTGATAAACCTGAATACATTTGTCTTTAGCACTACACTTTTGGTCAATGAAATCATTAAAAATATCGACAGAAAAAATCGGGAATTTTGAATCAGGATGAAATTGAATTAGAAATATGATTGTTAATCTCTTAATATGTCACTTGCCATTTTCAAGTGTGGACGCCCGTGTAAATGGGTGGGAACCACAGAATACTCTAAAAGCGTAGTTGAGGGGGATAGAAGAGAACTTTTTTGATAAAGACCATCTCACGGCGGAAAGGTAACGCCTTCGAAAAGCCTGGCCCGGAATCATAGGTTTTTCATGCGAACCTATGATTTTAGACTTTTAACTGTAATTAAAATATAGTCAACATTCAATGAATGCGTTTCCAATTTTTGCATGAACGTATATACTAGTTCATTATGGTAAAAACTTGACGTGATATCTTAATGTGCAAAAACTCATTTTGAAAAATGGAAGCTTTCTTAAATTTTCATTTGATAAATCTGAATACATTCGTTTTTAGCGCTAAACTTTTGGTCAATGACATTATTATTAATATCGATACAAAAAAGTCTTGACGTTTGAATCAAAACGAAAATGTGACAATTGTTTTATAAAAATATTATAAAATTCAAAGGATCTATCATTGAATAAGCTAAAGGAAATTTGATGAAAAATCCATATCTCTGGAATAACAACTCTTCAAAAAAAAATTTAAGCATATGACATCACATATATCTATTCTTGAAGCAAATAATGAGATCTTCATTGTGGATAAATTTTAAATTCTATTATTGAAATATTTGTGAATTTTTACACTTATAAATATGATATTTTGAAGATTAATTTATTAATGATTTTGAATTTTGGGTTTTTTAATTAAGACATAATAAAATCAGAATAATAATAGATGCTAATTTTTTTAAATATTAATTTTATGTAATCAAAATACTGCAATTTAAATATGAATGAAGTTGAATGAATTCAAATAATTTTAAATGAAAATTTTGCATCCAATCTAGAATAATTTTTTTGAATAACAAACATTTAAAAGAAATAAGAGATTACAAGCTAATCAGAGTTTACAATACAATCATCAATCGCAATGAATACTCTCTGAATATTTATCTCTATATGATTATGTTCATGAAACCACGAAGATATATCACTCAAAATCCTATGTTTTGTCTATTAGAGAATAAGGACTAGGTTTATTATGTAATATTAGATTTGATAGTCTAAAAAAGTGAAATTAAATACATTTAATGTAATAAAACCTCATGTAGTTTAAAAAACTTTTGGATTAAATCATGTATTAAAACATGTAATCTCTATTATCAATGTGAAGTCATGAAGGTTTATCTAGGTTAGAAGTTTGTGTAAATAAAAATTCATTAGAATAATCAAAAATTGTGATCAAAATTTATCATAATAAATTATTTCTGAAGGTAAATTAATTTATTGTCATAAAATATCAATTAGAACTTTTTTACAATGAATTTAATAATGATAATATTTTCATTAAATAAAAACAGTTAATTTTCATAGAATTGTATTTTATGCAAATCTTGCATAGCACCACAATGTTAATGTGTTAAATACATCAAGTTTATCGGAAATTTTTATTAGCTTAACATTCTTATAGAAAATAACATTTTGATGAAAATGATATAAAATGTTGATGTAGTTCATCCTGATATCAATCACTTGTTGCAAGATACTATCTCAAAAAAAAAAAAAAAAAATTTGATTTCAATACGATTCAAATTAATAATCTTTGTTATTTCTGTTGTCGTTACACATTCAACTTCCATTTTTTTGTAAGGTATGCTACAAATACCTTAAAATTTCGTTAAATACCATTCAATTTTGAAGATGCAATTTTAATCAACGAACGTCTAATTTATGAAGATATTTATACCTCAATTCATATTGAAAGATATGAAATTGAAGCTCGTGTAACAAGTCAAGGTGTTATGTTATGTTCTCCAGATTTTATCTTTAAACAATGCATGCTTTTTCAAATCCAAACATATATATACACTTACAGATTTTTTTAATCCAAATTTTTTCCATAATTAATACTAATTTAATCAAATATATGATATTATCTTATAAATAAATAAATATTTAATATTTAATATTCTTGAAATGTCTAATAATTCGTTTTATATATTGGCAAATTATTTATTTTCATTTGACATCTTCATCTTATACATAGGTAGATATTATTGCATCTAGTATCAAAATGTCAAGTACATAATAATTCTCAATATTTTGCAATAAAACATAGATCATATTCTTTCACATTCAACAACACCAATTGAATATTGAATTTTTAAGGTAATATAAAAAACTAAGATCATGTCATGTTATATTTCTTGAACACTTTTGAATATACTCACAATTTCATATAAAAAGAAGTTGTGTAAAAAAAATAATGTCATCTCAAACATTGTCAAATATTTTTTCTCTTGAACAAAAAAATTTTAATTCATTCTTGCATCTTTTTATGTTATACTATTTTTAGCATATCACTCCACAAAATCTAGTTGTGGTCCTCATCGACAACTTGCATGATAGCATAGTGTCTTGTGTAAATCTCCAAAATAATAACTTTGGATAACGCATCAATTAGATTAAATTTACCGTTAATCTTGACTAGCTTAATCATTTTATCATAGTACACCGTCAATCTAGACTAACTCAACTTATAGAGTTTACCGTCAATCATAACTAGCTCAATTTTTAAAGTTGAAGGTCAATCATAACTAGCTCAATTTTTAATTTTTAACTTCGATCATAACTAGCTTAATTTTTAGAGTTTAATGTCAATCATAACTAGCTCAATTTTTAAAGTTTATCATCAATCACAACTAGCTTAATTTTTAAGGTTTACCGTCAATCTTAATTGGCTCAATCATTTTATTAAACAATCTTGTGTGAAAAAATATCTAATATTGTTGTGCTTCACTCTACTGTATATAACTTGTACCGTGCTCATCTTAATCATTAATCACATTATGATCAAACTTGCCCACACCCAAATTTGTGAGCAAAAAATTTCACTTATCAATCAAGAGATACCGAAAACTCTTTTACTTTTTCAATGATCAAGGATCAATAAAATACACATCCATACTGACAAAAGACTTACAGGCTACTAAATTGAATAGTTACATATCCAAAATTCCAAATACTCTGACATGTGGGTTGTCACCTAGACCCTTATATGTTGGCGCCAAACCAATGACCCTTCTCTACATGCCTGCAATTTGATCATTGCATTGCCCCTTGGCCATGAAAGCTGAAGCAATGCAATCAAAATGAAATCAATGCCCGCATACTAGTTTTGTAACTCATCTAATACCACCGTGGACGAGTACAACATCCAGGCAAATACTATAGGCCAGTGTTTCAACTTCAAGTGATAATCTCGCATCCTCCTTCTTTGTGTTTGTGATCATATCTTGTGCATTCTCGCAAAAAAACTCGTCAATCACATTCTTTATCACATTCTCATACCCATGTAAATTTGAATCTAGATTATTGTACTTCCCCGCTTATAACAAAACTCTTTTATCTGTTCATGATATTCAAATTCAAATTTTCCGAACGGAATCTGTTAATAGCTTTTCATTTTGATTATCCATGATTTTTGAATACATTCAATCCAGATGGCAATGCAAAATTTGGATGAGATTTGAGAGAAGATTCTACCTCCTAGTCAGCCCATCACGTATCATCTGCAGTAGTTGCTTGCGACTAACTGTGATCGTGTCCAAAACTGTTGTTCACAACTAACTGTTATTGTCGCCCGTGACTCAACTACCCGCAACGAATCGTCAACGTGCTCGCAATCGTCGCCCGCGACTCATCGTCACCGTCACTGTCGACTATCAATCATCGTCGTTGATCATCACCGTCAATTATTGACCGTCGCCGTTGTCGTCACCATCGAATGTTTGTTGACCGTGGTTGCCCCACCGACCGCGGTTGTGTTGCGTACCGTAGTTCGCCCGGATAACTTTGTCTGGTCACCTTGCCTATCACTATTTGCTATGCCGACCGTGTTTGGCCCGGCCGACTTCGTTTGTCCCGCCGACTGCAACCACAACCGCATTTGAACTATGGGAGGGAAGTGGATTTTGTAAGACTGGATGTTATATGTGTGAAATAGAACTAGAAGTAGCCAAGGAATTAATCATGGTTAGTTTTGTTATCACTAAATCTAGCTACTTATGACTAAGTCTAGCTAATTATAATCATGTTTAGCTACAATGTCTATACTTGGCAAAATAACTAAAGACGTTCTAGAAGATTTGATTGAGCATTTCTATTTTGTCTTGTACAAAAGTCTAGAATTCATGAAAAAATACTTTTGAGTTCATGTTTAATATTGATTGGTTGCACTAAGTAATGGAGACTTCATTGGTTAGAATAAGTCTAATGTTGATTTAATGGCAAGTGGAGATTCTAGAAATTTGAAAGACACAAATGGCATGTTGTCACCTCAATCTAAGAATTAGTATACATCTAGAAGGTTTAGAAGTCCAAAAACACGTTGTCATGTATTGATAACTAGTCAAACTTACTATGATTTATTTTAGTAAAAGTAAGTTAGATAGAAA